TCTCTCTGTCTCTCTCTCCCTCTCTCTCTCTGTCTCTCTCTCTGTTTCTCTCTGTCTCTCTCTCTGTCTCTCTCTGTCTCTCTCTCTGTTTCTCTCTGTCTCTCTCTCTGTCTCTCTCTCTGTCTCTCTCTCTCTCTGTCTCTCTCTCTGTCTCTCTCTCCCTCTCTCTCTCTGTCTCTCTCTGTCTCTCTCTCTGTTTCTCTCTCTGTCTCTCTCTCTGTCTCTCTCTCTCTCTGTCTTTCTCTCTGTCTCTCTCTCTCTCTCTCTCTCTCTGTTTCTCTCTCTGTCTCTGTCTGTCTCTATCTCTCTCTCTCTGTCTGTCTGTCTCTCTCTCTGTTTCTCTCTGTCTCTCTCTCTGTTTCTCTCTCTGTCTCTGTCTGTCTCTCTCTCTGTCTCTCTCTATCTCTCTCTCTCTGTCTCTGTCTCTCTCTCTCTCTGTTTCTCTCTCTCTCTGTCTCTGTCTCTCTGTATCTCTCTCTCTCTCTCTCTCTCCCTCTCTCTCTCTCCACCCCTCTCTCTCTCTCTCTCTGCTGGAGTCTTGTGCTATTGCCCTGTAACCAGCTAGAACCCATTCCGCACTGCCCCTGAATCCTGTGTCACTCCGACTGGGAAAAGACAAGGACATTTGCGATGTCTACTACAGTCGAAAAGCCAGCTGCGTGGGCTTGAGGGATTGGGGAAGGGGGTTGCACAGTTTGAGTGGTCTATCTCACTTGGTTTGGGGGTGTGGGGGGGAGGAATCTTGCCATGTAGACAGACAGTCACACAGCCTAGAAACAGACCCTTCAGCCCAGCACATCTGTGCTAACCCAAAAGGGGCACTAATCCCATTGCTCCCTATGGGACTATGCCCTGCATCTTTGAAGAGCTCATCCAGATGGACTCAAGAGTGCCTGCCTCCATCACATTCCTATTCAAACAGGAAACCTGTTTGGAATGATTCAGCAACTTCCATCAGCCAATGCTCCTCACTGTTCACGAATAATGTGGGTCACAGAGAGAGCAGCCTCAGTGGCTATTAATGGGTTACTGCGAGATACTGACACTCACTCAGAAAAGAACACATTCCTGACCGTTTTTAACCTGACCTCCGGCCTCTGTACAGGCTCTGCTTTCAAAACAGAGGGTCCTGAGCTCAAATCCCAGCAGGAGGCTTCACCCCATCAACTCTGATGCTCCCGCAGCAGCGCTGAGGGAGCGGGCACTGTCGGACGGTCAGCGCTAAGGGAGCGGGCACTGTCAGAGGGTCAGTGCTGAGGGAGTGGGCACTGTCGGAGGGTCAGTGCTGAGGGAGCGGGCACTGTCGGAGGGTCAGCGCTGAGGGAGC